CCGAGCCGCGGGAACGGGAAGAGCGGATCCCGCTGGATGCGGCCTCGTGGAGCGGAGAATTCCGGGATGCGGGAGCGCCTCGGGCTCCCTCTCCTGGCGCTGTCGGGAGGGAATCGCTGCGGAAATCTGGGAATGGGAATCTCACCGGGAGCACGGGTGTGGTCACCGCGGGGACACGGGACCACCCTTGGGATGAGCGAAATTCCACAGAAACTCAGGATCAGGGATGTGAGCCGGGATAAGGAATGAAACCATTCCCAAAATTTCCCAATTTTCCCCCCTCTCAGCATCCACAGCCCACCATGAATAATTTTCCATCTTTCCTCATCCCACCCCTGGGGTTATCCCAGAATTTCATTTCCTAGCACTGCCAGGCTGGATGAGAGTTATTCAAAAAAATCCTCGGGAAAATTTCCACCTGGCTGGCTGGGAATGTGGGAAGAGAGAAGCGGGATTGGGGATCCCAATCTTTCCATCGGATTGGTGAACCCAATATTTCCATTGGATTGCTGATCCAAATCTTTCCATTGGAATGCTGATCCAAATCTTTCCATAGGATGTCATGATCCCAATCTTTCCATTGGATTGGTGATCCCAATCTTTTCATCGGATGTGGTGATCCTAATCTTTCCCTGGGACATGGCCATCCCAATTTTTCCATAGAATGTCGTGATCCCAACCTTTCATGGAGCTCCTGTTACCCCCACAATCCCGACCTCCCCCAGGGACAGGTGGGACAATTCCAGCTTTTCCAGCTCCTCCTCAGCGCCACCATTCCCTCTGAAATGAAGGATGGACGATCCTCCTTGGCAAAACCTGATCCTTAGGGAAAAACCCCCGGAGCTGCCGCCATGGCCCTTCCAGGGATTCCGGCCCCGGGACATTCCGGAGCCGCGTGGCCGAATCCCGGCACGTCCCTGGCTCTGCCCACAATTACAGATGAACGGGAAAACCACGGACACAGCACCCGGAGAGCCCTGGAATATCCGCAGACGCCAATTATCCGGAGGCCAATGTTTGGATTCCAGAGTGGATAATTTATGGAGAAGTCCAGGGCCGGGCGCTCGTCCCTTTGGATGGAAGCTCCTCTGGAATAACAATACCTGGCGCTGGGATAACGCAGATCCCGGGATTTGAAAGGGAGATGATTCCATTTGTTCCGCCGGGAGCGGGAACAAACAGCTCTGTCTGCTCCGCCGCCAGCAGCTGGTTCCCATTATCCCTGGAAAAGATCCCAATTTTTCACTGGGAGGGGAATCTGGAGCCGCCTTGACTCATTCCAAGTATGAAGTGAATGTGGAGCACAAACGAAAATTCCAAGGGGTGAAAGGATCGGAGACGAGGCAGCTCCTCCCAGTGGGAGCTGAAATTCCCAATTTCAAGTGGTGGCCTCGGCTTCCAATCCTCTGGAGACCACCAGGATTGGGAATTCCTGGAGATGGAGTGTGGATTCCATGGGATGGGAAAAGCTTGGGAGAGGATGATGGAAAGGGAGCAAGGCAAGAGATCCAGGGAAGAGATTTTGGAGGAAAAGAGAGGAATTTGAGGAATCTGAGTGTCCAAGAACAGGTTGGATGAGTCTTGGAGCCACCTGGGATAGTGGAAATTGTCCCTGGCCATGGAATGGGATGGGTTTAAGGTTCATTCCCATCCAAACTATTCCAGGATTCCATAATTATTGTGTATCTATATTTAGTGCCTATCCCAGCTTCCTTATTTTCTTCCCATCCGGATTTATTTGGAAGTGGAAAAAGCAGCAGGATGGAGGAAGGGGAAGCTGTGGGATCCCAGGAAACCCCAGAAGGAGAGGATTAAATGAGGGATTAATGGGAAAATCCAAGGAGATTATAAAAATTCCATGGAATCCAGGCGGACTCAGGTGGGAATCTCCCCGTGTGGGTGGCTCTGCTCCGTCCCCGTTCCCAAATCCAACATTTTCCCAACATCCTTCATGGACTGAGAATTGTGGTGACCCCCTGGAATTATCCGACGCAATTCCTCTCTTTTTTCCAATGCCAACGGATGAAGCTCCAGGAATCAGAGGGGGAAAAGTGGGAAAAAAATTTGGGATAAATCGTGCACCAACATTCAGGTTTATGGGGGATATTCCCAACACAACAGTGCTTGGATCCCGTGGACTCCCTGAGCTGTGGGAGCTTCCAGGAAATTCCCAGAGTTTTCCAGAGTTATTCCACAATTCATCTATAGGGAGCGGTGTCCCTGGAATGGGAATGAGGGCAGCACGGAGTCTCCTGGTGGGAATCCAGCCTGAACATCTGGAATTCCACTGGGGGCTCCTCTCCCACCCCTCCTCATCCTGGGGCTTCCCAGGCTCCTGCATGGATATGGAATTCCATGAAAAGGGAATTCACGGCTGCCCCATTCCCGTCTGCTGGGGAATAGCTGGATTTGGAAACTCTGGGATCTGGTGGCAGCTCGGAAAACAGCCGGAGGGGAGCATGGAAAAGGCTCCTGGCAGGAATCCTGTTGGAAGCCAGCCCAGGGAACTGAAGGAGCGTTTTCCATGCCTGGATCCGATGTTTGATGGATGAGTTCGGCACTTGGCTCCACCAGGAATTTTAAAGGCAAACCCGACACCTTTGGCTCAGCTCCTGGTTTTCCCCTCGCTCCAGGAGCATTCCCAAATTTCCTTGGGATGACAGGGAGGGGATCAGGACCCCCCCAGTGCCTCCCACTGAGCCAAGGATTCCCACAATTCCCAGGAATGGGAGCAGGGCTTGGAAAGGGCCGTGATGGGAGCTCCTCATTCCCAACAGAATTCCCAAGATTTCCACCCCCCATCTGCCATTCCCAGCCCATTTTCTGGGAGCCACCCCAGAATTTTGGGAACTCTGAATCCAGGGTCCACCCCACAATTTTTGGGAAGTTGATTCCAGGATCCATCCCAGGATTTGGGAGGCTGATCCCTGGATTCACCCCAGCATTTTGGGGGGGAAATCCCAAGATCCATCCCAACATTTTAGGGGAGCTACATCTAGAATCCTTCCCAGAATTTTGGGAGCAGATCCCAGGACTCACCCCAGAATTTTGGGGAGCAGATCCCAGAACTCACCCCAGAATTTTGCGGATCAGATCCAAGGATCCTTCCCAGAATTTTGGGGATCAGATCCAAGGATCCATCCCAGAATTTTAGGAGGATAATCCTAGGATCCATCCCAGTATCTGAGGTGGGGCTGATCCCTGTTTTCCTGTGTGGAAGAGGCTGGAATTCTGCTTCCCTGTTTTCCTGGCTCTGGGAAGAGCTGATGCTGTGGGAGAGGCTGGAATTCTGCTTCCAACTTTTTTTTTGGAGCAACTCTCTGGAGCTCTGAGCTCAGCGGAGCTGCTGGATTGGGAATGAGGGATCCACGTGCTCCAGCTTGGAGCTGCTCCCAGGTATCCAGAGGGACAAATCCCAATCCCAAATCCATCTCTGGAGTGGGGTTTGCTGTTCCTGAGCATCCATCTTTCCCTGGGAAATGGGAAAATCCTCTGGAGTGGAATAAAATCCCTGCATGGCCCCCCTCCCCAGCTCCTCCTGCGCTGAAATCTGGGAATTTGGGAATTTGTTGTCATTCCCAGCCTGTGTTTACATTCCTGGTTTCCAGCCTGGTTCTTCCCAAACTCCCGAGGCAGCCGCATCCAAGGCCAGATGCCTCCCACAGGTCAGGATCAAGGACTTGCTGCAGGAACAGCTGGAGCCTGGAAAAATCCGGAAAACCTCCCGGGATGATCCCAAAAAATAGGGAAGGAAGGTCAGGATGGAAGCACAAAGTCCTTTGGGATTTGGAGGAGCTGGGATTTGGATCCAGGGATTTGTGGGTGCCATTCCCACCCATGGAGAGGGATTGGAATGGGACGACCTCCCCATTCCATGATTCCATGAGGAATTCCTGCTATCCAGAGGTATTTCCAGATAAACAAAAGCTTTTCCTGGATCCAGCGGTCAGCTGGGAGCACGCGGCCGGAGCAGCCTCCTCCTCCAGGGTTTCTGAGGAGTCATCCAAGGATTTTAATCTGGGAAAAACACGGGATCTTCCCTTTGGGAATGGCTGATGTCATTCCCGGATCTGCATCCAGCTGAACTCGCTCCCTGGGATGAAACATTCCCTGTTTTCTCCTCCCCTCTCCCAGTTTTTTTTATTTTCCCCCAGATTTCCCCCCTCTCCCTCCCAAATTCTCCCCTGTCTCTCCCATGTTTTTCCTCCCTTTCTTTTCAGTTTTTCCTTTATTTTCTTCCCGGCTTCCCCTCACTTTTCTTCCCAGGTTTTTATCCCCTTTTTTCCCCAGTTTTCCCCCCTCTTTTCCCAGAGGAGGTGACACCTGGGCACCTTGAAACCCTTCCCATCCCTGTGGGATCCCACCAGGAGAGGCCACGGGAAGCTGGGAGGCTGATCCCTGGATTCACTCCATGGAAATTTTGGGGGAGAAATCCCAATATCCATCCCAACATTTTAGGGGAGCTGCATGCAGAATTCTTCCTAGGATTTTGGGAGCAGATCCCAGGACTCACCCCAGAATTTTGGGGAGCAGATCCAAGGATCCATGACGGCATTTTGGGAGGGTAATCCTAGGATCCATCACAACCCCCATTCCCGGTGGGCATTCCCAGCTGGCACAGTCCTGATTCCCGGCTGGCACAGCCAATTGCAGGTAGGAATCCCCGGCTGGCACAGCTGATTCCAGATTGGAATCCCCGGCTGGCACAGCTGATTCTAGGTCGCAATTCCAGGTTGGCACAGCTGATTCCGGGTTGGAATTCTCGGCTGGCACAGCCCCGATTCCAGGTTGCAATTCCAGGTTTGCACAGCTGATTCCAGGCTGTAATTACTGACTGGCACAGCTGATTCCAGATCGGAATTCCCAACTGGCACGGCTGATTCCAGGTAGAATTCCCGGCTGGAATCCACTTCCTAAAGGGTGGCACGGCCTGGAGGATGCTGCCCCCATTCCCATCCTTTCCTGCTGCGCCTCATCCCAGGATTCCAGGTGGGAATTCCCGACTGGCACAGCTGATTCCCGGCTGGAATTCCCGGTTGGCGCAGCCGATTCCAGGCTGGAATTCCCACCTGGAATCCGCTCCCTAAAGGGGTGTCCCGGCTGGAAAGGGCCGTCCCCATTGCCATCCTTTCCCTCCTCCCCGTTCCCCGGTCCCTCCCACTCCCTCCCAGCGCTCTCCCGCTGTCAGGGAGCCGGGAAAAGTTTGGGATAAGGGACGGGATCTGGGCTCGGAGCTCCCAGTCCCGCCGATGCTCGGCAGCGGGGATTGCGGCAGCCGGCGATTCCATGGATATTCCCAGCGGGATTCTCCTGGCCTGCTCCCTCTGCCTCCTGCCCGGTGAGTGCCCGTCCCAATCCACCCCCCAAAAAACCGGGAATGCCTTGGGAAAAGCGCCGGAGAAACCTTCAGGCGGCTCTTGGAAAAGTTTTGCCGGGAGCGGGAGGGAGCTGGAGGCTGCTGGAAAGGGATGGAGATCCCGGAATTCCGGGGAAATTCCCGATCCCTCATCGGCCTTGCAGCAGGATTAATCGGGATAATCCCAAAGGATCGGATGCTGGGGGAAAGGAAAGCTCCCTTTTCCCGAAATCCAGCTTTTCTGAGGTTTGCCCCGTTGGAAAACGGGGAAAGCTCGGGGTTAAATTTAGGAGAGGCTTTAGGCGGAGTTTAATTCCAGGAGCCGATCCTGCGGCTTCTCCCGTTCTGCCCCGGGGGGCTGGGATGGATTTTTTCCTGCTTTTTCCACAGCTTTTTCTTTGGGAAAAGCGACTCCCCATTCCTGCTTTAATCCCATCTGGAATCCACCGGCGCCGGGAGCCGCCAAAGCGGGAGGGAAACGGGGGAAAAAATCGGGAAAAAATTCGGGAAAAAGCGCTTTTCCCCACTGCCAGGAGCTCGGCCACCGGCTCGCGCCTCCTCCAGCTGCAAACATTCCCAAACTTCCTGCTGGAAAACGCGCCAGCCTGCTCGGGGTTTTTATGGGATTGGCGCTTTTTTGGGATTTATTTTTCCCTTTCTGCCGCGGGATCCTTTCAAGGGAGCCGCGGCCGAGCTGCTTTTCCTGAAATAATTGGATCCATGTGTGCATGGAGGCATGGATGTGGCTCCGGAATGGGATGTTGGAAAAATCCTGGGATTTGCCAGATTCCCGGGAAATTCCCCCATGGACACGGTGCTGGTCCGTAAAGGGGGGATGGTGGAAAGGGGATTTGGGAATTCTGCCTTGGGATGTGTGGAAATGATCCTTGAATTTGCTCCCTGGGATGAAACATTCCTTGATTTTCTCTCTTCTCTCCCGTTTTTTTTTTTCCCCCTATCCATGGATTTTTCTGGCCGTGAATTTTCCCTCAAGGATTTCCATTCTGTCCCTGGATGTTTCTGGATCCAGGGATTTTGTGGGAATTCCGGAAGCACAAGGTCCTGCTGTAGCAAAGCCCCTCCGGAGCTTTGGGAAACAATTTTTGGGAGAGCAGGAATGGGGTTTTTTTTGGGAAACAATTTTGTGGGAAGGCAGGAATGTTCCAGGATGACTGAGCTTCTGTTCATCCCCAGCATTCCCGGCCTTCCCATCCAAATCCCAAGATTTTCCCCAAAGCCAATGACAGACTCTGGGACCTGGCAGCATTCCCTTGGATTCCCAGGAATTCAAGCCCACCCTGCTGCTTCCCAGAGATATTTTCCCAAAATTTCTTTATCCTTTAGAAAGTTTTCCTTGTTCAGCTCAATTTTCCCTCTCCAGGAATTCCACCCTGAGCTCGGGCAGTGCTGGAAGCCAGGGAAAAAACCTGGATTTTCCTGACAGTCCAAGAAAAACTGGGATATTCTTCTGGGGAATCAGAAAACTCTGGGACAAAAGCAGCAAAACCCAGCCCCAAATTTTCATGGAAGCAGAACCAGGGTTGGGAATCATGGGAATGCTTCCAGGCACTTCCCAGAGTTCCTTTTCCAGATGGGAACCCCAAAGGATTCAGGCAGGGGAATTTCCCCCTCTTCTCCCCAGGTTTTCCAAATTTTCCCCCCAGTTTTTCCAATTCCTCCCCCCCCCCCCATTCCCCCCCCTTTATTCCCATTTTCCCCCCCAGTTTTTCCAATTTTTTCCCCCAGTTTCCCCCCCTTCTCTCTCCCAGTTTTTCCCCATTTTTTTCCTGGTGCTGGGGCCTTTGGAATCATCCCCATCCCAGACATTTCCCTTCCAGGACTTCTTTCTATGCTGATTTTTACCCTGGCAGGAAAGGTGGATTTTATTCCCATCCTTCTTTCCCAAAGATTTTCTTGTTTCCCCATATTTTCCTTGACAAGAATCAAAAGTTTGGGTGCTCCAGGAGCTCCAGAGAAAAGGAGGAATTTGAGGTTACCTGCCCTCGGAATTCCAAGGAAAACCTGGAGCTTCTGGTCGCTCCTTTGGGATAGTGACCAAAGAGGGGAAGTTTCAGATTTTCCTGATTCCCAGCAGGAAAATCTCTCTGGCTCCCAAATCTCCTGGATAACCTCTCCTAAAATTCCCATTTCAGCCGGAGCCAGTTGGAATATTCCCGGTTGGAATATTCCAAATATTTATTTTATTCCTTTCTTTCTGTCAGAGTTTTGAGGTTCCATCCGTTGCTTGGAATCCTCTCTCCCAGTTTTTTTGCTTCCCTGGGATTGAGATTCCCAGCTCTCCTCCCTGTTTTCCCAGAGATATTCCATTTCATGGAATATTTCTGTTCATTTATTTTTGTTCCTTTTCTGGAGTTTTATCCTAAACCATGGAATGGGATTCTCCAATTTGTCCCTGTGTTCCCATTCCCAAAAATCCTCAGCTTGGGGGTGTGCAGTGCAAAATCCAGGAAAATTAAGAGGAAAATCCATCCCATCCTCTCCAACACTTCCTCTGCATCCAAGACACTTCCAGATCCCAGAATTTCTTCCTGAGAATCCAAAGTTCCCAAAATTCCCTCTGATTCCAGAGTGCTCTGATGCCCTTCCCCCTTTCCCTTTCCCATCATTCCATGGCCAATCCCAGCTTCCCTCTCTCCCGAGGTTTTCATTTCTTTGGGATGTGAAATGAGGTCAACGCTCCACAAAATATCTTGGCTCTCATCCCCGTCTCCTGGGGTTTTTTTATCCTGGCTTTCTAGAATTTCTTTCTGGATCATTTGGAAGCTCCTTCTCCTCAGAATCCGTGGCCGGATTCCTCCATTCCATGCTCCAGGAGCGGGTTTGTTCCTAGGATTCCAAACATTCCCTTTTTCTCCGACATTCCTGCCTATCCAAACATTCCCATCCTGCATTTTTCCACCTGGGAAGCAGCAGTGCCAAATTTTCCTGCTGACAGCTCCTTTATGTCCTGAGAAATTCCAAACTGAGCATCCCGTCCCAGTGCTGGAGGAGGATTCCAAGGTTTTTCTTGGAATGAAGCATCCAGCAGGATCCAGGGAATCCAGTCTGGGATATCCTGGTTATCCGTGTCCATCCTGCTGCTCTAGCCTGGAATTTGGGCCGTGTCCCTCTGTTCCCATGGATGGCATCTCCAGCATTCCCAAGACTCCCACTCCTGGGGCAATTCCTGATTTCCCAATTTCCCACCTGGATCTGGCTCCAGGCACAGGGAGGAGCTGCCAGAGAATTCCCCAAATTTTGCTGAAGGTAATTTCTCTGGAATTTGTCCCCTGTGGGCACCAGAATCCTGGGATTGGGATGCCGTGGATCCTGCTCCTGCTGCTCTGTGGGAAGCGGCGTTTTCCAGAGGGAAAGGACCAATCCCAAAAATCGCCCTGTCCCAGCTGGAATTCCATCCTTAGGGATATCCCCCTCTGGAGCTGCCTCTGCTCAGCTCCTGCTCCCACAGGGAATGGGAATCCAGCTTTGGATCCTTGGGAAAACCCTCAGGATTGGCCAGGATCCCTTTTCCATGGATGCCATCCCATGATCCCCATGGAAGTGGCTGAATCCGTGGATTCCAGAGGGAGGAGCTCCTTTCTTCTTCCCCTTCCCATCCTGGCTCCAGGGAGTTCCCAGGATGAGCTGTTGAGGGCTGGGAATGGGCTGAATTCCTGGAATTCTGAATCCTAAATGAGCTCCAAGCTCCATCCCCAGGGCTGGATATTCCCTGGGAACTCCAGGATGGAGAGCGGAATTTTGGGAAGCTGCAGATGAGGCGGGGCTGGAATGCTTTGGAATTCCCATCCTGCCTGGGATGGGAATGGGATCAACCCATCCCAGAATCTTCAAAAATTCAGGAGCAGCTTTCCCAGGATGGGAGAGGTTGGAAGCACCTCTGGAATTGTTGAATCCAACCCCAAGTGGGAGCACCCGGAGCGGGGCTGGGATTGGAATAATTCCATGGCTGGAACCTTTCCGAGATTTCGGAATTCTGAGTTCATCCATGCGGAATTTGTGTTTTCCAGATTTTTGGCTGATGGATCCTTCCCTTTTTTTTCCCCCAGGATTCGGGAATTCCTTCAACATCGACACCAAGAGGCCCCAGATCATCGCGGGATCCAGGGAATCTTTTTTTGGATACACGGTGCAGCAGCACGACATCGGCGGCAAGAAATGGTGAGTGGGCTCTGGAAAACCGGGAATTCCAGCGGGAACTTCGTTGGGAATTACACCAACCCACCCCAAATCTCCTCCAGAATTCCCAGGAATTGCTGGGCCAGGATGAGGTTGCTCTTGGAGATGCTGAATGAAGGAAAGGTTTTCCTTAAAAAAAGAGGAATTTTGGGTGGGATAAGGGAATATTGGGAATTTGGGAAGGAGGTGTCCTGGCTGGATCACGATTCCTTGGAGCCCCCCGGGGCTGGAATCCCATCTGGAATTTGGGTCCAGTCCATCCTGTTTTTTAATGTTTGCATGGAGGAGCCAGGGCCTGGAGAATCGATCCGTTGGGAATGTGGGATGAGCCTGGGATTGGCTCAGGTTTGGGATTTTGGTGTGGGTTTGGCTGATGCCAGGGCCAATCCCAGGGTTGAATCCCAGGGCTGATCCCAGGGGAATGAATCCCAGGGGATCCCACCCAGATGTTGGCAGAGACCTTTGGCGCATTCCAGGAGCACATCTGGATGCTCCAAAGCCCATGGAATTCCCTGGAATTCATGATCTGCCCCTCAGGTGGATGAATCAGGCTTAATCCCATAATTAATGCAGTGGATACTCCTGGAACTCCAGAATCCAACCTTTGCCACTTTTGGAAAACCCTCCTGTGTCCTGAGCCTGAGATTCCCATTCCACAGAAGTTTGGGAAGTCGGAGTCTCTCTTTCCATGGCTCCCACCCTGTTTTCCACCAGGACTGGGAGTTTTTCCCATTGGAATTCTGCATCCTATGGAAGGGCTGATGCCTTGGTATAAAAGCTGGGAGTTCAGTATTTCCTGGGATTCTGAGGGAAATTGCTGGAAAATCCCAATTTTGGGGATATTCTCATCCTGGTTGTATCCATAGGAGTTGTTTTAGCTCCATCCCAGCTGAGGGGCTGCAATTCCGGGGATTTTGGGATCTCTTATCCCATTTTTCCATGCCACCACCACTGGTGGGGTGGCCAAGGGCTGAATTCCCTGGAAACTGGGAATTTTTTCCTGCTTTTCCAAGCAGGACCAAAGACCATCCCTGGCTTCTTTTCCCAACTTTTCCTGCCAACATCCACAGGATCCACCTCTAGTTTTCCCTCCTGTTGGTTCCTCTGCTTGGAAAAATGGAATTTTTCCAGAGGGATCCTATGGATGGATATGGACATTAAAATTCAGGACAACGCTGCTGGAATCTGCAACTGAGCGGGAAAAAATTCCAAGGGAAAAATGTGGACACAGTGAAAAATGGAGAAATGTGGGAGCAACCATAAACCTCTGGAATAAAAAACATGAATGTGCAGAGGGAGCAGGATCAGAATTCCAGGACCTGGATAATTCCAGATGCCGGATAATTCCAGGAGCTAGCAGGACACGGAAGGAAAGGGAATGTCCTGAAACCCCAATTCGTGCTGGGCATCTTCCAATCCCATCCCGAGGAATTCCACACAATCCACTGGAATACAGCTGAGACTCCGGGGTTCTCTCAGAATCCCGGCCATGGATGTGCCGGGATCCAGCTGCCAAATTCCAAGCGCGGAATCCGAGGATTTTGGCACCTCTCCTTCAGTCTGAGCCTTTTAATGCTGCTTTTGGCTGCCGGGAATTGTTTGGGAACAGATTCCAAGAATTCTGTGTTTATGTTTTTTTCCATATATTTCTAAAGGAAGATTGGAGTGGCTCCAAACAGATTGGATTTTCCGGGTATTTTTGGAAGTTGGGAATTTTCTCCTTTTCCAGACTTTTCAAGGAGCCACCCAGACTCATGGAAGTGCATCCCAGAGAGCGGAAAATCCATGAGGAAAATCCGTGAGGAAAAAATTCGGGTTATTAAACTCTGAGGGGGAAAAAATTCCACTTGGATATTTAAGGCTGGAAAAGCTCATCCATGTGGGATTTGATTTTGATTTTGCTCCGGCATTTTCCAGAGCAGTGTGGGGTTTCCAGACCTCCTTTTCCACACTTTTTCCATCTTTTCCGTGGAGCTGGAGCTGCCTTCTCCAAGCAGGGATGGAAAAGATGACAGCAGGTGCCTGGAATTCATCCCAAAAACCACCGGAGCTCCATGGAATGGCAGGGAAAGGGGGACCTGGAATTGCGGGATCGGAGCATTCCCAGTGTTCAAACTGGGGGTTTTGGGGAAAAATGGGAACTCCCTGTGCTGCTGGGACGAAATGACCTGTGAGGAATTTTGGGATAAAGAGAAGGAATTCCTGGAAGGATGAAAAGAGTTTTGGAAGGTTCGAATCCCAAGTCCCAGCATGTTGGACGCTGTGGATGGATTTCTTTGGGAATAATGAGCAGAATTCCCACAAATGGGATGTGTATCCCTTAAAACCTGGAAGCTGCCATGGGAATGGAGAGCTCCTGGATGTTTGGGGCAAACACAACCTGGAATCTCATGGAATTTTGGGAAGAATCTTCCTGGAGGTTCAAGAGCAGGGAAAAAGGGGAAAAAATTCCCTTCATCTTTCATCTCCCCCTTCCGAGTGTTTGTCCAGGATGCTTCCCATCATTCCAGGAGCTGTGGCCGGGAGCATCCCAGAGCTCCTTTTCCAAGGAATCCTGGAGAGGGACACTCGGAGCTGATTCCTGAAATTTTTGGGATGCTGGATGCTCCTGGGGAGCTTTCCCTATCCCAACCTCGTATCCCACTTATCCAAAGGGAAGTTCTGATCCCAAATCTCCTCCCTGGGAGCATCCCAAAGTTCCTTTTCCAAGGAATCCTGGAGAAGGGCACAGATGGGGACAGGCAGCAGTGACAAATCCAGACCCCAAATCCCAGAAAACAGCGGATAATGGGAGGAAAGGCAGCCCGAGGAACTCTGGAATACCCTGGGCAGCAGGAATGCCACATTCCTGTTTTTCCCAGGGTTTTTTCCCCTCATTTTTTGGGATGTTAAGGAGATGTTTCCAAGCAAGGCCTCTCCGTGTTTTTGGCTCAGCTGGGATTTTCCATGGAACCGTTCTGGGATCTGTATCCACAGGGTCCTGTGGGATCTCCAGCTTCCCTCTGGAGATTCCCAAGAAAACTGGGAATTTCCCAGGTGGCTTTTCCCAATCTCCCACTTCCACCCCAAACAAACCCTTCTCCTTCAGAACCACTGTTGATTCCCAGATTTTTTGCCACCCCATCCTTGGAATGTTCAAATCCAGCTGGGAGCAATCTCTGGAAGTGGGGCTGGAATGACCCAAACCATTCCATGATTTTATTGAAAATGAGGCCAAAAAGAGGGAAAATCCCCCCCAAAAAACAGGGAATAGGGTGGGCTGCTGCAGATCCTGCATCCTAAGGTGGGAGGGAGAGCTGGGGGCAGACATTATGGAATTTTCTGCGCTTCCACCAAAATATTCCAAGCGCTCCGGCGGCGGCCAAGCCACGGGAGAATCCCAGCCAAGAAAACCTCTGGCAGGAGCTGGAAAACAGAAACCCCTGGAAGTGTTTTTCCAGATCAGCACAATTCTGGCTTTCAATCCAGCCAGAAGATTTTTCCCTCTTTTTTTTTTCCCCCTCCTCCTTTTCCCTTCACCCAGGCTCGGACTGGGATTGTTCAGGATCAGGGCCTGGAGCTCAGGGGTGGAATGGGATGAGCTTTAAGGTTTTTCCCACCCAAACCATTCCAGAATTCCTGGATTTTGCTGGTTTGGAGCCTTTCCCAGCCTGCAGGCATGGACACATCCCATTCCCAGCCTGGCTGGAAAATTTGGAATCAGGACGCAGCACTGGGCTTTGCTTGCAGAGCAATATTCTGGGGCATTCCTGCTTTTTCTCTCCTTATTTTTTTGGGGATGAAAGTTAAAAATCCATCCTCAGACAGCTTGGAGCAGTCAGAGCTTTTCCCACTTAATCCCTGTTGGTTTTTTTCCCTTTGTTTTCTCCGGGAGCAGGGAACGGAGAGGGAGGCGAGGCAGGAATTGTTTGGTTCTGATTTTCTTTCAAAGTCTCATTTTTTGGCCAAGTTGTGATGCAGGAGCTGCTTCCCTCTTGGGGATCCAGGGAAAAATCGGGAGATTTGGGATGATCCCAGGATGTGTGGGGGGGAAAGCTTGGAAAAAACCAGGAATGCCTCCCTTCTATAGCAGGATGCTCCAGTTTTCTTGGGATGAGCTGGATCATTTGGATATTTTTGGGAATTTGGGACAACCCATCCCAAATTCCTGATTTTTTTTGGTTTTTTGGAAGGAAAAATCCAGGATTTCTAGCCCAAATTTCCAAGTAAAGGAAGAGTGGAGCAGCATCCCTAAAAACACCTTCCAAACAGCTGGAAAAGCCTTTTTCCCCAAGCTGCCATGTTTCCATGAGGATTTGACAGCTCCAGCTGATTAATCATTCCCATTTAACCAAAAAGGGAAAACAATTCCATTGTTTTTTGGGAGACCAGAATTCCGGCTTCGGGAGCTCTGCAGCTGCTCCTCATTCATGGCAAAATCTGGGAATGTTTGGGTTTCCTTTGGGTCTGCCTCGTCATCCCAAAGGGATGATCCAACCCCAAACTCGCTGTTTTTTGGGGAATAATTATTAATGGGTGATGTGATCACATTAATATGGGAATATTCATTCATGGAAAAGTCTCCAAGAGGATTCCCTGCAGGATGGGGGGCACATCAAGCTGGAGCTGCTCCCAGAAGTTAATGAAGTTCCGTGTACCTGAAGTTCCTTGGGAATTGGGAATTACACCAGGACATCCCCATTTTCCAAGGAGCCACCACCTTTATTACTCCTCATCCTCAAGGATTTCCCATTCCCCTTCCTGATCTTCCATCTTTTCCCTCCTCTCCACCAAATGAGAGTGTAGGAAAGCTTCGGGAAAATGAGCAAATTCCTGAAAAATCCCAGATTTTCCTGGATGCTGTTGAGGACAGCTCCAGCTGGAGATGATTTTCCCGTGGTGAATTCCCACATTAAGCCGTAATTCAGGAAGTGTTTCCATGAGAATCCTTGGATTCGGGAGCTTTTCCTTGGGGGAGCGATTCCGGTTTGGGATAAAAGAATGGGATGTTTGTCTTTGGAGCGGCAACATTTTTAAGGAATGACAATTCCTGGTCTAACAGGGAACATCTGTGCCGGTGGCTTTTCCAGCTGCTGGGAAGGGCCCTGTGGAACAAAAGAGCTCCTGTTTATCTGGAGATCCAGACTGGGACGGTTGCATCCATAGGGTTTTTTTTGGGAAGCTAAAAAATAATAATAAAAAAATCCCATTTATTTTGGGAGCGGGATTTGCCATCAACTCATAGTGATGAGGATTTTTGGGATAGCCTGGAAAGAAGGGATGGATTCCTTAGGTCCTGCACTCTTCCTGCTTTTGGGTTGCTGTGGTCAAGAAAAAGTGGGAAAAATGTTTGGATGTCCCAAAAATATCTCAGCTGGAAGTTGGTGTCCTTGCTGTGGAATGGGATTTAGCAGCTCCCTTCTTTTGGAGAGCAGGAAAATTCCCGATGTCCACTGGAGATCCCAAAGTTCGGAGCAACTCCAGCCTGGGGCAAATTCCCTTCTCTGGGGTTTTCCTGGGGAAAATTCCTTCCCTCCACTGGAGATCCCAATGTTCATCTCCCAGTGCTCGTAACAACCCCAGCTTGGAAAAAATTCCCTTTTCCAGGGTTTTCCCTGGGAAAATTCCTTCCCAATTTCCTCACCCACCCCGGGAGATCCCAATGTTCAGCTCAGGGCTGTTCATAACAGCTACGGGTTGGAGCAAATCCCCTATTCCAGGATTTTCTGGGGAAAAATTCCTTGTGGATCCCAGTGGGATTTGCTGGAAGCGCTCCACCAGCTCCTTGTTATTCCTTCTGGTCCTGCTGGAATCCTGCATCCATATCCATGTCCTGGAGATGTTCTGGGAATGAAGAGGGAGGTGCCCCTGCCCATGGAAGGTGTTGGGATGAGATGATCCCTAAGGTCCCTTCCATCCCAAACCATTCCATGACCCTGTGGAAAGGCTCCTCCATAGGCAGTGGAGAGAAGGGACAATCCATAATGGTTCTGAGGGATTTGGTGCCGCCCTGGAGCTGCTTCCCTGCTCCTCCCTGTGCTTCCAGATGGGTTTGGATCCCTCTCTCCCTGCCACGAATCCGTTCCTTGCGGCTGATGGGAATGAATTCCATAATTCCAGGTGGCAGAGTCACATCCCCAACTTTTTGCTGCTCCAAAGGGAAGAGAAGGAGAAGCTTTCCTTCCACTGAAGCTGGGGCCCTTTGCTGCCACTCCCAAACCTGGGAACTGTGGCTGAGGGGATTTTTCCCAGGGAATTCCCATTGTCCTGGTGCTGACGGATCCGTGTTTTCCGCAGGCTGGTGGTGGGAGCTCCGTACGAATCCAACGGGCAGCAGAAAACCGGAGACGTCTACAAGTGTCCAGTGCTGAGTGACAACCACGGAAACTGCACCAAGCTCAACCTGGGTATGGCGTTCCAGTCCCTGACATCCCAAATTATCCCTGGAAAACGGGATATTGGGGAGGGATTCCTCCCTGGGAGGGTGGAATTCCCAGAGATGCCTCTGGATCCCTGGAAATGTCCAAGGCCGGGTTGGATGGGGCTTGGAGCACCCTGGGATGGTGGAAGGTGGCAGTGGATGGGCTTTAAATGCCCAAATTATTCCATGATTCCCAGTTTGCTTCCCAGAGGGGGAGCTCTGGCTCATGGGGAGCTGTGTTTTCCAGCGGAACAGTTGGATCAGGATTTGGGACACAGCTCAGTGACCAATCCCATTTGGGACTGACAGGGCTGCCCTGGGGGCTGTTCCCAATCTCTGGAAAAAACAGGGATTCCCTGGGAATCCAGGATCAGGAGCTGAGCCCTTCGAAGGATTTTTTCCTCTCCAGCTTCCAGCCTCATTTCCAAAAAAATTTTCCTTCCTTGGTTGTTCATCTAGGAAAAATTCCAATTTTTCCAACTTTTTTCTTACCTTCCAAAAATCCCCAAAACCTGAAGTGAAGATTCCTCTCCAGCACACAATTCCCAGTTCCTCCAGAGATTCCAGGGGCATTCCAAATTTCCCGGGCATGTCCCTGATGCCAGCCTCTCTCCCAAGGGCGGGTGACGCTGTCCAACGTGTCGGAGCGCAAGGACAACATGCGCCTGGGCCTGAGCCTGGCCACCAACCCCAGGGACAGCAGCTTCCTGGTGAGCAGCATGCCTGGGAACGTGGGCTGGGAATTTGGGAATGTGGACCAGGAACGTGGGGCAGGACAGGGAGGTGTTGGGAGGTTCCTCTTGGTGGGGGTTTTTAATGGAATGGAGTGAGATTTGGAGGGATTTATTGATGAAATATAATAAAATATAAAAAAATATAAAAATATAATAAAATATAATAAGATATAATAGAATAAAATAAAATAAAATGTAATTAAAATAAAATAAAATTAAATTAAATTAAGTAAAATGGAAAAAAAAATTAAAGCACATCCACAGAAAAGGGATCCTTTGAACCAAATCCTGCCTTTTTTACCATTTTTTAGGCCTGCAGCCCCCTGTGGTCGCACGAGTGTGGCAGCTCCTACTACACCACGGGAATGTGTTCCCGCGTCAACTCCAACTTCCGCTTCTCCAGAACCGTGGCTCCGGCTCTGCAGAGTGAGGACCAAGATCCCAGCTCCCATCCCTGCTCCCATCCCATCTCCAATCCCTGCTTTGATCCCAGCTCCAATCCCATCTCCAATCCCATCTCCAATCCCTGTTCCAATCCCATCTCCAATCCCATTTTGGCTGCACAAAACAAAGCCCTCATTGACCAGGAGTTAAACATGTTGGAATTTGGGAATTTGGAGCTGGGATGTTGTTTTGGAGGGTTGAAATGAAGTTTCCTGCCTTTTCTGGATCTAGGAAGGATTCCCAGAAATCTATCTTGCTCCTGGGAGCTCCTCATCCCATGGGATGTGATTCCCCAAGTCCAGAACCTCTCTGGTGTTGGTTAATTCCCAGGGCAGATGGGCTGGGAAAAATGGGATTTGCCAGGAGGGGGATCAAGGCAGGAAAGGCAGAACCCATCACCAAATTCCCAGGGCATTAAGAGGGGCTTGGAGAAATGGGATTTTTGGGATCAAGGCAGTAAAGGCATCATCGAATTCCCAGTGTCACTTCCCTCATTATGTTCCAGCCCTCGCTGCAAAGGATAACTGGGATTTTAGGGAGTTTTAGGAAGTGTTTATTTAATGGGATGCAGGGTCAGCTTCTCTCCTTGATTCCCGGGATGGGATGGAGGCACACAGAGGATCCCAGTGATCCATAAGTGACTCCAATCCATGGATTCTTTCATCTGTAAAAACCTGTAGGCTGAAGGAGCAGCCGATAAATCTCCGAAATCCAGGATCACCAAGGAATGCTGTAAAACATCAGCAAGACTGAGATGATCCTGAGAAATTTTCCCCACTGGAAAAAATCCTTAAATCCCTCCTGCTCCGGCTGCAGAGCCGAGCCCTGGGGTCCCCTCTGGGGTTTTTGGCTGCCGAGGATTTCATGGGAAGGGAGGAAATGCCCGCCTTGCTTTCCATGGCAGGGCTGGGAATGACTCAGGGATCAGGAACGGCTCTGCGGGAGGAGCGGAGCCGGATCCTGCTCCTCTTTGAAGTGTGGAATGATATTAAACGGCATCAAATTCCAAAGCTGAATCCCAAATGATGCCGCTGAGTGTTATTCCTAGGAAGTGATCCCATCTTTTCACAGCAGAGAGGATTCCTGTGGCTTCTCCCCACCTTGTTGGAGCCCAGATTCTTTCCCAAACTATTAAAATCAATTTTTTTCCCCAACAAATCCTAAGAGGAAGTACCTGGCTGGAAGTGAAGCCATAAATCTGCCCCTTTGCAAGAAGACTTTAAATAAATCCCTGGATTTTCCGCAGGATGCCAGACCTACATGGACATCATCATCGTTCTGGATGGATCCAACAGCATTTATCCCTGGGTTGAAGTCCAGCACTTCCTGATAAATATCCTGAAGAAGTTCTACATTGGTCCTGGACAGATCCAGGTGAGTCCCTGAACCGTTTGTGTCATCCCAGGGCCATTCCCAATGTCCCTTTTCTGTCAAGCTACTGGAATTTGTCAAAATATTGGGATTTTTGACTCACCCCATGGGAAGAAAATGCTTCCAATAATGTGCCTAAGTGAGCTGTGGAGGGATCCACATCCCAATGGGAACAGGGAGGATGAAACCACATGGAAAGGAGCTCTCCATGCTCTTGCTCCGAGTAATCATGGATTGATTTAGGCAGGAATTTGAGCAGGAACATCCCAGACTTTCCCAAAAACCCCAGTTTGGTCCCATCTGGAGATGCTGCGGGTCCAAACTGGGACAGTCTGGCACATCTGGATCCCCCCAAAACTTGGTAGCAGAGCAGAGGGGAGAGCCATAAAATTGGGAATTAATAATGATCCCATGGAGGGGAAACTGGGTGATGGAATTTCAAAAACAATGAGTGTAGAGAATTTTACCCGTGGCCGGCGACTCCCGCGGTTGACGGCGCTCGCAGTGGACAGGACCTCGTCCTGTCGGCCTTTCTGGTGCCATTCCCGTCGTTCCCAGGTGGGAGTGGTGCAGTACGGAGAGGACGTGGTCCATGAGTTCCATCTGAACGACTACAGGTCCGTGCAGGACGTGGTGGCGGCCGCCAGCCACATCGAGCAGCGCGGCGGCACCGAGACCAGGACCGCCTACGGCATCGAGTTCGCTCGGTAAAACCCCTCACAGCCCTGCTCCCATCCCCAGGAAAGCCTCCAAATCCCTGTTTTTTCCCCCTCCTTCCCTCTTCCTTTGTTTTCCTTGCTGCTCAAGAACGGGGGAATCGCCAGGGTTTGTAGGAAAAAGTGTGATTTGGGGGAAGCTTTGGGAGGGGCGCTTGCCAAAATTGTTCCATCCTTGTTTGCAGCTGGGGCAGGGTTTGGAATTGTGGCCTCTCCCTGTAAGCTCCCAGGGGTGAGCTCCCAGCCCCCAAATTCAGCCCCAGGTCCTGGAGCTCTCCTGGAAATCCCTGGAAAGTCCCCAGAAACTCAGGACAGCTCCACCTCCTCCCTGTCCTTTATAAATCCCTATAAATCTCCCTACATTTCATAAACAACAAAAGGGACAAATCTGTATTCCTGCTGGGAATCATGCAATTTTAGGCTGGAAAAGAGGTCAAAGATCAAGTCCAGCACTGCCAAGGCCACCACTGACCATGTCCCAAGTGCCACATCCATGTGGTTTGGAAATCCCTGCAGGAATGGCGATTCCAGCACTGCCCCGGGCAGCTTGGAAAAGTTTTAGGTGGATCCTGGCCAGATCCAAGCAAGGTCCTGAATGATTTGTGTCACACAGTCCCCAAACCCTACTCAGTGTCCCTTTTCCATAAATATGCTGGAATTTGGGATCGTGACTTGTCAGAATAGTGGGATTTGGTCAGGGGTGGATAATGGATGAAGAAATTTTCCCTCACAGGGAAAGGCCCCATGGGCCACGGCCAGTACTCTGCTGGCCAACTCAAGATCCATTCCCTCACCCGATTTTTGCTGAATTACAGCCTCTTTCCTGCAAAAAGTGGGGGAACCCACATCCCAAAGCATTTCCCGGGGGTTCCTGCACCTTTCCAGGTGTGGCAGCCCCACAGACCCCTCGGGTTGGGCTCGGTGGGGCGGCGGAGCCCCACGGAGCTGGCGGGGCTGAGCAGCCCAGGGCATCTCTTCACTTGCAGCTCGGAAGCGTTTCGGAAAGGTGGCCGGAAAGGGGCAAAGCGAGTAATGATTGTCATCACAGATGGAGAGTCCCACGACAGCCCAGACCTGGAGAAGGTGATCGAGGACAGCGAGAGGGACAACGTCACCAGATACGCGGTGGCGGTGAGTGATGAGACTTTTGGGTTCTGGAAGTCCTGCAGAGCGTGGTGGTGCTCCAGGAATCCCAAAGCACCAGGAGAGCCCATCCCCACTGCTCCTGGAACCTTCCAAGAGTTCCAAGTGCTGCTCTTGGGATGATCAGCTCAGGAGTCGGCTGCTGGAGCTGATGCCGGGATCAGGGATAGGCAGGACCCCAAATTCCATGAGGAAGGTCCTGCCAGGAGGAATTGCAGCATTTTCTCTGTTTGTTCCCACAAAGTGGTGTCAGATCCGAGGATGGGGCTTCTCCCATGTGGACAGCCCAAAGGGTTTTGGGATGGTTTTATCCATCCTGGGAAAACGGCCCAGAGGAGCTGCTGACCCCCCATCCCTGGAGGTGTCCAAGGTTGGACGGGGCTTGGAGCAGCCTGGGATAGAGGAAGATGTCCCTGCCCATGGAATGGGATGAGCTGTAAGATCCCTCCCCACCCAAACCACCCGGGAATTCTAATTCCATGAAAGTCTCGCATTTTGTTCCCAACCAGGTCTTGGGTTATTACAACAGGAGAGGAATCAACCCTGAGGCCTTTCTGAACGAGATCAAGTTCATCGCCAGCGACCCCGATGACAAACACTTCTTCAACGTCACCGACGAGGCGGCCCTCAAGGACATCGTGGATGCCCTGGGAGAGAGGATCTTCAGCCTGGAAGGTGAGGGAGGCTCCTCCCTGGCACCTCCCAGGGCTGGGAATGTGCTGCTGATCCCTTTTTCCCCGAATTTCTACGTGGCTTCCACAATATCCGAGCCTAAAATCCTGCTTGGAATATCTTCAGATTTGAGGAAATGTCTTTATTTGGAGCTGTTGCTTCCCTCGGATATCAGAAACAGAGATCCCTTTTCCAAAGGACACACCTCGTTCCAGCCAGAGGAATTCTGGTGGCTTTGATTTTTCCTTTTTATAGAAAACCTTGGAGATTTGGTATGGGGGGAATTTGGGCATCGGTGCCTCCCTCATCCATCAAATTCCAGGGTTGTAAACAGGAAAACCCACACACAGGAGCTTCCCGGGGTGCCAGACATCAGGAGATTATGGGAATAATGTTGGGATTTCGGGTTTGTTGGCTGAAATGAAATATCAGGAAATATTTCTGTCTTAAATGTCAGCTCTTGTGACAACTTTGTCTCCCAAACTAAATTTATCCGAATTTCAGAGGAAAAATGCAGCCTGGAATGAACAATTGGAACAGAAGATGGAGGGCCTGCACTGGGAATGAAACATCTTGAATTTGGGGGATTTTGGTTCAAACCAGCTCACAAACTCCCCACAAGTTTCCCAATTTTCTCTGTCCAACCTGGCGCTTCCCTGTGGAAGTTGCCCTGGATGAGGAGTTGGAATTATGAAGCGGAAACCTCCAAATCCCCAGTTTTGGGTGATCTTGCAGCTCTGCAAGGGGAGAAGCTGCAGCCCAGCAGAGCTCCCAGAACCCCTAACAGCACAAGATTGTGGAACTGGGGGATTTGGGAGAAATGGGATCATCAGGGGGATGTGGAGCTGCTGGAGCAATTCCAGAGGAGGCCACGGAGCTGTTCCAGGAAAGCAAAACTCTCCATTAAACATAAATTCCCTTTTTTTTGTTTAAGGAACCAACAAGAACGAGATCTCCTTCGGGCTGGAAATGTCCCAGACTGGATTTTCATCCCACGTTGTGGAAGTAAGAGAGGAAATGTGGGAATTTTATTTTGCTCCTGTCTTGTCCTGTTTATCACCCCCTGCTCCAGGTGGGAGATTGGGATTTGGGACAAATCATTAATTACAGAGTTGAATAATTAACGTGAGGATAAGAAAATGCTGCTGGGTTATCCCATGGGAAAGGGAGGTGTTGGGAGACCTGAGCATCCCTTGGGATGTGCAGCAGATCCTCCTGATGCCATGAACTCTTGGGAAGGACGTGCTGGGATGTCCATGGGAAAAACTCTTGGGAATTCCTGGGGAGAAAAAACACATTGGAAAAACAAGAATAGGGTGGAAGCGTCATTCCAGCAGTTTTAAAAGCTTCCAGCATTCCAGGTGTTTTTGGCCTGTGTGGGATCAGAGGGATGGAATCGCCTCCACCTGGGAAGAAATCCCACAAAACCACTCCTGTGTTCCCACAGGACGGGATCCTGCTGGGAGCAGTGGGAGCCTACGACTGGAACGGAGCCGTCCTGAAGGAGACCAGCAGCGGGAAGGTCATCCCTCTGCGGGAATCCTACCTGCAGGAATTCCCAGAGGAGCTGAAAAACCACGGGGCCTACTTAGGTGGGAAAGCTGAACGAGTCCCTGCTGCCACACGGGGGGAATTTGGGATTTTATCCTTGAAAAAAGGGGAAGCACGGGGGGTATTCCTCATGGGAGAGCTGTGGGATGCAGCACAGGAGCATCCTCACCTGTGAAGAGCCCGGCTCCGACCCCGGAGCGGGGCACAAATGGGATTTGAATCCAGGAGCAGCCGAGCCGGCGGGTGATCCGCAGCTTTCCTTGGAGTGCTTTCAAAGCACCGATGGAATTTCATGCCTAGGCAGGAAATACCTGCTGGGTTAATCTGTTCCATGTGCAGCCACTGCAGCTCTGGAATAAAAATATCAGCCTGGGTTGAGAAATGCAGCCTCTCCTCGGAGATGGGGCTGTCCCGTGGCGGGGAGAGAGGTGGGATTCTGTGGGATCTGTGGGATCAGCACCTCCAGGCTCTTCCCTGGGAATGGGGACACGTGGATCATCCGTGGGGTGACAGCTGAGTGTCCCCCGAGCGGGGATGGCTGTGGGTGTCCCATGGAAATGCCTGTGGGAGCTCAACTGGGCTCTCTTTACCACTGCCTGGAGTGAGAATTCCGGGAATATTAAGGAATGCAGGTGTATCCTGCTGAGGAGCAGCCTGGGGGGCTCAGGGCTGGTGGTTGGTTTAGGAATATCCCTCCAGGAGGGGCATTTTTAGGGAGAGAGAGACCCCAGGTAAGGCTGGTGAGCAGGGAAAAGGGTCCAAAAATCCCTGGAGATACTCAAAATTCAACTGGATGTGCTCCCAGGGAATGTGATTCAGCTTCATGATTGGCCAGACTTTGAGTTACACAGAATCCCAGAATTCTGGAATGATTTGGGTTGGAAAGGAACTTAAAGCTCATCCCATTCCACCGTCCCCTATCCCAGGTTTCTCCGTGCCCCATCCAGCCTGGGATTGGAACATTCCAGGGATGGGGCAGCCACAGCTTCTCTGAGCACCCCGTTCCACTTCTAAGGATTTCATTGGAATTTAAACCTGAACCGTTGAAAACCGGGATTTGGCAGCCCCAGCTTTATATTCCTACAAAATCCCATCTGCAGCCATGGAAGTGCCGCAGCCCATGGGGTGATCCCAGTAGGAAAAAGGGATTGCTCAGGGTCACTGGCTTAGGCAGGGTTATTTCCATCAGGAGGAATGGTTTTGATGGATTCATGGCTTTTCTTGGACTGGGAATGTTGACATCAAGGAAAGCTTTTCCTGCCTGGTGTTCTCAGAGCAGCAGGAGCTGCAACTTCCCAACACTCAGCACCTCAGAGTGTCTGTCCAACTTGATTGAGCCATGAAATAAAACAGCCAGAAATCCAGGAATTGCAGGAATTGATTGATCTTCCATAAAAGAAGGATTTGCACAGGAAGTGGGGATCAGGCAGTGCCAAATCTCCCGGCACAGCCCCGGCTGTGGCAGCACCGGAGCGGGCGGCTCGGAAGCACTGGGGTCCCTCTGGGTGATTTCATCTTTGCAAAAATCCAGGTTTTTTAAGCTTCCCTTTTTGGGAAGTGGCCAGAGCTGTGTCAGCAGCTGGGGGCTAATGGAAAGCAGACCCCGGGAGCAGGCAGGGAATCCTCACTCCGTGTCCATCCCTTCCCAGGTTACACCGTCTCCTCCGTCGTCTCCACCAAGCACGAGCGGATTTACGTGGCGGGAGCACCGCGGTTCAACCACACGGGCAAAGTCATCCTGTTCACCATGCACAGCAACAGGAACCTCACCATCCACCAGGCCCTCAAGGGAGAGCAGGTAATTACGGCTGGGAACGCTGTGCTGCTTTTCCCCCCTGGAAAAATCAACCCTCTCCCTTGGTTTTCCCGAGTTGGAAAGCTCGGCAGCGCCGTGCAGCCGTGGATGTGACAGTGTCCTGGTTTGGAAGGACAGGTGTCTGCTGAGGAGGGCAGGAACCTCCCTTGAAATGGAAAATGTAAACCCTCTCCTTCTGAGTTATTATAATTATGAAATTAAGGGGCTCTCAGGCAAAGATATGGGAATAGGAATAACAGTTCTTTACTAGGGAAAATAAAAATACAAATGCAATAGTACAAAAAAGAAAACAAACCACTGACAGAGTGAGAGCAGGAGCTGACACGCTGTGTGTCAGGGCGGTGTCCCAGCCCCATCCCATGGGGGCTCAGCCCTCCTGCAGTGCCAGCTGTGGCTCTGCTGCAGCAGGGATCCTGCGCAAGGGGGGAGTTTTCCTCTGCAGCTCCAGGGCTGCTGCAGATGGGCCTGGGCTCCCTCTGGCAATGCAGGGCAGCAGAAAGCTGCTCCTCTGGCCATGCAGGGCAGCAGAAAGCCGCTCCTCTGGGAATGCAGGGCAGCACAAAGCTGCTCCTCTGGGAATGCAGGGCAGCAGAAAGCCGCTCCTCTGGCCATGCAGGGCAGCACAAAGCTGCTCCTCTGGGAATGCAGGGCAGCACAAAGCTGCTCCTCTGGGAATGCAGGGGGCAGAGGCTGCTGGGGTGTCCCAAAGCTCAGATTGGATCCAGGTAGGAATGCTTGGCTCCTCCCCTGGGCGGAGCATCTCCCCATGTGATCATGGAATTTGATCAGCCATGCAGGGACACTTGCTGGCCATGAACAGAAGATAATTAATAATTAATGATCCATGAACAGAAGATAATTGATAATTAATGGCCCATGATCTCCTGGAGGGAGGATTGGCTGTGGGAGAGATAAAGAAACCTGCCCCATGAACAGGAGATAACTGCCCCAGCTCTGACAGATGTGATAGAACCCACACCCCCATTTCCAACCCAAGAGAGCCAGTTGTGGCAGCATCCACAGCGTGGCTGTGGCAGGGCTGGGATGTCCCTGTGGATCCAGGGGATCCAGGGGGATGGTGGCATCATTCCCACCCTGCCCTGTCTCCCCCAGATTGGCTCCTACTATGGCAGTGAGATCAATTCCCTGGACGTGAACGGCGACGGCGTCACCGACGTGCTGCTGGTGGGAGCACCCATGTTCTTCAGCGAGGGCAGGGAGAGGGGCAAGGTCTACGTGTACACCCTGCACGGGGTGAGTGACACCTGGGGACATCGTGGGGACATCTGGGTGACGTCATGGAGGCTGTGTCCTCTGGTGGGGTCTCAAGGAGGGGATAGAACAGGATCTTTGCCACATGGGAATGTGGATGTCCCTCTGGAGAAACCATCTCCAGCCACACGGTGTCCTCCAAACCTGCTCCCTCAAGGGAGAACTCAGAGCCCCTTCCAGAGCCTAAAGGTGCTTCCCTGTGGAAGTTGCTTCCCTGGATGAGGAATTCCCCCAGTTAGAATTATGAAGCAAATAAAACCCGCCTGGAGCATGGAATCCCTACACCCAAAGCACTTTATTATTTATGGAATTATTATTATTGTTATCATTATCGTTATAGTAATTTTTATTATCAATGAAATTTGTATTTATTATAGAATTTATTATGAGTATGGGATGCTTATTATTATAGAATTTGTATTTGTTATGAAACGTATTATTAATACGGAATATTATTATAATTATTGTTATTATTATTATTACTACTACTACTACTACTATTGAATTATTTATTTAGGGTGCAAAGCAGATGTGGGGCTGGGTCAGGGGGGCTCAGGGGTCCTCATTTCCCAGGGATGTGCTCCAAAATCCCCCATCCCTGGGAATGCTCCCCCCTCCTTCCTTGGACAATCCCTCCCACATCCCCGCACTCTTCGCTTGAGGGTGTCTCCTCTTCCCAGCCTTGCTGCTGATGCTTTGGGAATTGTCTTCCTTCCTTTTTTTCCGTGGCAGAACCTCTTTGTTCCCAGCGGAGCCCTGATGGACCTCCAGAGTTACCAGAATTCCCGCTTTGGCTCCTGCATCGCCGCCGTTCCCGACCTCAACCAGGACTCCTACAACGACCTGGTGGTCGGGGCTCCTCTGGAGGACGAGCACCAAGGAGCCATTTACGTTTTCCTGGGATTCCAGGAGACCATCCTGAAGACGTACAAGCAGGTGAGGCTTCCCCGTGCTTGGTTCTCCTCATCTTTTGTGGGAAAATTATAATTTGTCCCTGTTTTAAGGACAAATCCACACCTGGGATTTAATTGTTAATTATTACGGCCAGATATTTCCTCTTTTGAGGCATCCAAGACAAAACGTTGGAATTCAAGCATTGGAAGAGCGCTGGTGGAGTCCCCATCCCTGCTGGGATTTAAGATGTGTGGATATGGCACTTGGGGACATTTTGTGGTGGCCTTGGCAGTGCCAGGGGGTGGTTGGACACCACAGTCTTGGTTGGCTTTTCCAACCTGAATTATTCCATAGAATAGTGGGGAAAGAGGCTTGAAATTAGAGGTAATGTTTAGCAATCATTGCAAGGGACTGCTATAGATTAATTAATTAATTATAATTTTTTAAAATTTATTTTTGTTTTTTTATTATACTTTTGATAAATGTTAAATAAGCAGGGTAAATCCAGTAGCAACCTTGGATGGTGTCTCCAAAGAGAAATTGCTCTCGAAGCAAATGCTTTCTCTTTTCCAAAGAGAAATTCCCTGGAAAGCCGTGTTTTAACATGTTCTCTTGGAACGGGGGATTTTCGGCGGCGAGGCGGAGTCAGCCTGGCAAAGCTTTGGCAGGCAGGAATGCTCCTGCTGGAATCCAGCCTGGATTGCTCCCATTCCTTTCCAGCGGATCGCGGCCGCCGACCTCGCCCCAGGCCTGATGTATTTTGGATGCAGCATCCACGGGCAGCTGGATCTGAATGAGGACGGGCTCGTGGACCTGGCCGTGGGCTCGCTGGGGAACGCCGTGGTGCTCTGGTGAGCCAGGGATCCTTGGAGCCCTCTCCCGATTTCCTCTGCCCAAATCATGCCAAAATTTTTTCCAGGAAAAACTGGTCTCACAACAATCTGAGCCGTCTTTCTTGAATAACCAGCCCCTGTCCAACAGGGCTGTGGGATCTCAATACCCACAGGCCCTAAAAAGATGCCAGAGTTGGTTCTCCATTGAGTTTCATCCATGGTTCTCCACTGAGTTTCATCTATAGTTCTCTAGAAGTTCCAAATTCATTTGTGGGGATTTGCCCAGGCTCCTTCCAGTCTGATTTAATTAGAGCAATATTTTCAAACATTAATTAATGTTTGGAGAGTCCCTTGAAGCTGTTGGGATGGAGGGTGGCTGTGCCCACCTGAGATGCGTCACCCTGGGCTCTGCTTGGACAGCGTCTTTCTTCTACAAAAAGGAGGGAAAAGGAGTGAAAAAGGCAAACCTGGAGCTGTGGGAGACTCCAGGATGTCCCATCCCGAGCCAGAGCCCATCCCGTGCCCTCTCCCCACCCCGCAGGTCCCGCAGCGTGGTGCAGATCAACGCCAGCCTCCGCTTCGAGCCCCCCAAGATCAACATCTTCACCAAGGACTGCAGGCGCAACGGGAAGGAGGCCACCTGCATGAGGGCCTTCGTCTGCTTCACCGCCCTCTTCCTCTCCGCTCACTTCCAGACTGCCAGCGTGGGTAAGGACAAAATCCCAATTCCTGCCTTGCTCAGGTCTCCAGCCCCATGGAAAACCCAACTTTTGGGATGGGAACTGTGATGGTGTTCACAGGGGTCTTAGGATGAGGGAAGAAATGAGAATGTTGACTCCTTTCAGAAGACTTGATTTATTATTTTATTATATATATTACATTAAAACTATATTAAAAGAATAGAAGGAAGGATTTCATCAGAAGTCTAGCTAAGAATAGAAAAAGAATTCATAACAAAGGCTTGTGACTGAGACAGTCCAGACAGCTGGGCTGTGATTGGCCATTAATTAGAAACAACCACACGAGACCAATTACAGATGCACCTGTTGCATTCCACAGCAGCAGATAAGCATTGTTTACATTTTGTTCCTGAGGCCTCCCAGCTTCTCAGGAGAAAAAATTCTAAGGAAAGTATTTTTCATAAAATGTGTCTGTGACAGGAAACCATCCAGGAGCTTGGAGGAGCTCACCTGTCCATCTGCCACTTTGGTGTCACTCACATTTGTCCCTGTCCCGGCCGAGTCTCCGGGTTCTGGTGGCTGTTCTGCCGAAGAAACCCCCCCAGGATAAATCCCACCTATCTCTCACCTGTTCCCTGGGCAGAGCTCTCCTGGGATTTGCCTTTCCATGCTCTGGGTGACGGGAATCGGGAATGTTCCCGCAGCGGGACAGGAGCAGACAAGCCCGGCTCGGCTTGCGCAGGGCTCATCCATCCCTCCCACCTCCCGCTGCAGCAGCGGGCCACATCTGCCGGCCAGATGTGCATTTTCCACAACATCCCAGGGAATCTGGAGCTGGCCAGCCCTCCTGTTAAACCCTTGGATGGAGCCGTGACCCCGAGTGATCCCCGGCGGATTCTCAGGAGTCAGCCGAGCAGGGAGGCGATAGCGGCTCGGCTCCTGCGAGCCAGCAGCAAACACCATCCAAGGAAAATCAGGATCAAAGCCAAGGAAAAACTCCCATTGCCCAGAGCAAGGGCTTTGTTTTGTGCTGTCAAATCCAGTGTTTTTCTCCCTGCTGCTGTCCCTGTGGGATAAAATCTGAGTGGGATTTCCTTATTTATTTGATTTTACCTTTATTTCCCCTGGAAATAAAGAGTCAGCCCCTCTGCTCTGGAGCCAGGCTGGGAGAGCTGAGGGTGTCCAGCCAGGAAAAGATAATCCAGAGAAACCTCAGAGCCCCTTGCAGGGACTAAAGGAGCTCCAGGAGAGCTGGGGAGGGACAGGGGATGGAGGGACAGGACACAGGGAATGAAAGAGCTGAAAGAGGGACAGATGGGATATTAGGAAGGAATTGTTCCTGTGAGGGTGAGGAGGGGCTGGGATGGAATGGAATGGAATTCCCAGAGAAGCTGTGGCTGCCCCTGGAAGTGTCCAAGGCCAGGCTGGACAGGGCTGGAGCACCCTGGGACAGTGGAAGGTGTCCCTGCCATGGCAGGGGCTGCAGTGAGATGAGATTTAAGGTCCCTTCCCAAACCATTCTGAGATTCTGTGCTTCTCTGAAATCCCTGCTTGGCTGGGAGTCTCCAGTTGCTTTCCAGCAGCAGTGCAGGAACCAAAGGATCTCTACAAATCATCCAGGTGAGGGATGATCTCCAATTCCTCCAGACCAGCACAGGAACATTTGAGAAGCAAACAACTCCACGCCTGCACAGATTTTACACAGGGCCTTGCAATAATTAATTCCCAAAACCCCTCACTTGGCAAAGGGAAGCTTTTCTGAACTGCCTGGCATTTCCCTGAGCAGGGAATGGGCCTTGGGGTCACTCTTTGCCCAGGGTTTGGGATGTGTGGCCCCATGGCTGAGCTGCGCCTGTCCTTGCAGGGCTCAGGTACAACACGACCATCGACGAGCGCCGCTACTCGCCCCGGGCGCACCTGGACGACGGCAGGGCGGCACCGCGGGCGCTGGTGCTGCCCGCCGGGCAGGAGCTGTGCCACACCCTGCCCTTCCACGTCCTGGTGAGTGTGCAGCAGGAAATGTTCCTTCCAGCATCCCGAGCCTCATCCCGCTGGAGTCATCCCGCTGGGCTCCTCCCCGCCAGTTTGATGTGGTCAGGGACGGCGCTGCCAGCACGTGGCAGCTGCTGGGTCCCCAAGCAGTGACATCAGCCTCCACGTGCTCCGTTCCACCAGCCGTGCGCTCGGGGAGGGCGTGTGCTCCTCATCCCAAGGGAGCTTTTGCTGCTCCAAAATCAGGAATGCCCGTTGTTTTTCCATCGGGAATGGAGTGTCCCCGTACCAGCCCCGGGTGGTGTCCCCCTGTGTCCCAGCACGGTCCCACCCCGGGGTGCAGAGCTGGTGCATCCCTCGCTCGCAGGGAACAGCTGATGCACAAACCTGGCCAAACCCAAACATTCCCAGGGAATGAGGAGAATCTCGTGGAAGCCAGGCAGGCCTGAGCTGCCAGACTGGCCCAGCACCAAGCCCCGGCTGAACTGCCGTGAACTTTTGGGAAATTGGAGGCTTGAGATGGAGCTGGAGCTCGTGATTCAGCCCTAAAAAACATCTCCCTTCAGAGCATCCCTCTGCACTATGGGGCAGGCATGGGAGGAGCTCCTAGGGGCTTCCAGAGGCCAGGGCTAGGTGGGATACTGGGAAGGAATTCCTGGCTGGGATGAAATTCCCAGAGGAGCTGTGGCTGCCACTGGATCCCTGGAAGCATCCAAGGCCGGGGTGGATGGGGCTGGGAGCAACCTTGGAGATGGAATCTGGTTTCTGTTACATCCCAGCCATGGGCTGGGGCTGCAGGACAGGTGTGTGACCTCTGGGGACACCCTGATGGGTGCCCCAGCCCAGGCAGCCCTGGGGGCTCCTCTCAGTGCTCTCCCTGTGCCCCAGGACTCGGCGGATTACGTGAAGCCGGTGACGTTCTCCATCGACTACGAGCTGGAGCAGCCCGACCACGGCCCCATGCTGGACGATGGGTGGCCCACCTCCCTCAGGGTCGCTGTAGGTAGCAGCTGTCACCTCCCTGGTGACACCTTCCCAGATTCACCTTCCCAATTCCACCTCCCAAAGTGTCACGTCCATGGTGTCACCTCCCAAAGTGTCACCTCCCTGGTGCTACCTCCCAAAGTGCTGCCTCCCAACTGTGTCTTCCCAAGTGCTGCCTCCCAGATGCCACCTCCCAACTGCCACACCCCAAAGTGTCACCTCCCAAAATGTCACCTCCCAAAGTGTCACCTCCCAAAGTACCACCTCCCAAGGCACCAGGGCAGATTTATCCCTGGCAGGATTGTCACCGAGCTGCTCTCATTGTCCCCTCAGGTCCCCTTCTGGAATGGCTGCAACGAGGACGAGCACTGTGTCCCCGACCTGGTGCTGGATGCCAGGAGTGACATTCCCAGTGCCATGTGAGTAGGTGACCCAGAGCATCCTCCAGGAGTGTCGCCAACTGGGGGAGGCTCCAAAAATCCAGCCCCAGTCTGTGTTCTGTAAATTCTGACGTCACTGGTCCTTCATCCAGCATCACCACAAGGTTCATCCAAGCCCTCCATGAGGTGCTCCTTGGCACTTCTGAGCCTCTCCCTGCTCCCTGCCTGTGGTTTTTCAGGGAATCCACAAACCAGCGAGTATTTGATGCCATGGTGATGAGTTCCAAGGATACAAATCAGGAAATACCAGGGAATAACTGCAAGGCTGGCATTACCCACCTGGCAATTACGGGCTTGACTCATGGAAATAATTCCACACTGCAGCTCCGTGGTTACAGAGCTATTAAAGGTTGCATCCACAGGAGGCCCCAGAGCTGCTCCAAGGGCTGGAGCCCCTCTGGAGCCGGGCTGGGAGAGCTGGGAATGTTCACCTGGAGAGGGGAGGGATCCAGGGAGAGCTCAGAGCCCCTTCCAGGGCCTAAAGGGGCTCTAGGAGAGCTGGAGAGAGACTGAGACAAGGGATGGAGGGACAGGACACAGGGAATGGCTTTAGGTAAAAGAGGGATCAATGGGATATTGGGAAGGAATTGTTCCCTGTGAGGGTGGGGAGGGGCTGGGATGGAATTCCCAGAGAAGCTGTGGATCCCTGGAAGTGTCCAAGGCCAGGCTGAACAGTGGAGCTTGGAGCCACCTTTGCCATTGGCGTGGGATCTGGTTTTTTCCCCTACATCCCAGCCATCCCAAGCGCTCCTAATAATATTTGAGAATGCCTCACACCACTGGCCAAAAATCCCCAAATTGTGCACGATGGGAAGAATCCCTAATTCCTCTTTCAGCACAGCGGGACACGGGGGGAGAGCAGGGATCTCCATGGCGGTAAAATCCCGGGAATGCCGCGTTTTGCAGGGAATTCTGCCGGAGGGTGCTGCGCAGGGCGGACTGCTCGGCCTTCAGCCTCTCCTTCGACGCCTCCGTCTTCGTCATCGAGAGCAGCAGGAGGAGGGTGGCCGTGGAAGCCACGCTGGAAAACCGCGGGGAGAACGCCTACAGCACCGTCCTCAACATCTCCTTCTCCAGGAACCTCCAGTTGGCCAGCCTCATCCCCAAGGTGAGCTCCCGGGGCAGATCCGGGCTTTTCCAGAGGGGCTGCTAATCCCGGCCGGAGGAGAATGCTGCAGCCCAAAGCAGAGCCCAAATCTGTCTCCATCCCTCATAAATCAGAGCTGTTTATGGGCTCCGTTTCTAAGCACTTCCAGCTCTTTATTTTGGAAATACAAAAAGGTTTTGAGTTTTAAGAGACTGGGCGAAGGTCAAACGCAGAGGAAATTATTTCCCTCTATTTTTCTCCTGCTGTTGTTTAAAAATACTCCCTGCACATGGCCAAGTTCCCGTCAGGAATGAGTTTTTGCAGCTGAGAAATAACTCCTGGAAGTGGGAGCTGATCATGGGAATGTGGCCACAGCTCAGCACCGAGCCGGGCGATGCCACCTCTCCATGGCTTTCCCTGGATGGTCCCAGAGTGCCCCAAAAATGTCACTGCCCCACTCACTCGATCTTGGTGCGACTCCTCCCTGCTCCCAGCGAGGTTTGGGAATGTGCTGATGCTGCTGGGCCTTCCCTCACCCCCCCATGACTTCATCCCCGCCCGCAGATCCCATCTCCTTTGTTTTTCTCCAAGCCGTGCCAAAGGAAAATTGTGGGGCTTGCTGCCCACAAAATAAGAAAAATGCATTTTTTGGAGATTATTCCAAATGAAGTGAGGGGAGCAGGGAAAATCCCCGGGATGGTGGGGAACAGAAAGCACCAGGCAGCAGTGGTTGTAGGGAATATTTGCAGCTGGTTATGGAGGAGTCACGGATAACAGGCTCCTGGCTGTCCCTCCTTATCAAGGAGCATCCAGAGGGGATGGATATCTATGTCTTACAAATAAAAAGTGGCTGTGGCCCCAAAAAGTCCATCATTTCAGCAGATGAGTGGGAGGAAGCTCCAGGGTGTTGCTGGTGGCTGATGCTGGGATATTCTGGCTCCTGGGCGGGACTTTTCCAGTGGCAGCAGCTCAAAGTGACCCCTTGTGGGATAAAAGCTGGAATAGTTCATCCTCTCATGGTGAGGATGGATACCGCATCCCATGGCTGGAGAGGTGGAAGGTGTTCCAGCAGCAGGAATGTCAGTGTTGAGGTGAGGGAATTCCAGCTTAGCTGGTGGCCATGCAGGATAACAGCTCATGTTGTCTCACAGTGCTTCCCAACAACTCCTCATCTCAGAAAAATCAGAAATTCCAGGAATAATCAGGTTCATTCATTCGCTGCAGTTAAATTCATTCACTGCTGTAATTAAATTCATGAAGACGATTTAAATCAGGAAACTGGGAGTTGCTTCCTAGAGATGGTCCTTTCCAGGAACGTCAACAAATGCATGGGAAGAATTCCCAGCTGCAGCGAGCAGGGTGGTTTGGATGACTGGCTGGTTGCTTGCATGGTCCTTTGGTTGGGTTCTGGTTGGTGGTTGGTTGGTGGTTGTATCCTTCCTTCATTCATTAGTTTGTTGACCAGTGGTTGATTGGGTTTTGGTTGTGTTTTGGTCATTGGTTGGTTGGTCATTGGTTGGCTGGTGTTTTGTTGGGTTTTGGTCATTCATTGGTTGGGTTTTGGTCATTGGTTGGTTGGTTATTGGTTGATTGGTTAGTCATTGGTTCTTGTCATTGGTTGGTTGGGTTTTGGGTTTTGGTTGTCAATTGGTTGGTCATTGGTTGGTTGGATTTTCGTTGGTTGGTCATTGGTTGATTGTCCATTGGTTGGCCTTTGGTTGACCACTGGTTGGCCATTATTTTGTTGGCCTTTGGTTGGCCATTATTTGGTTGGCCATTGGTATGCCATTGGTTGCCCATTGGTTGGTTGGTCCCCAAAGCCAAGGCCCGTTTTCAGCCCCTCTGGTGTTCCCAGTTTCCCAAAGAGCCGGGGCTCATTCCCGGTGTCCCGGGCATTCCATGGACAGGACTTTGTGTCCCGTTTCAGGACGACAGCGACATCAACATTGACTGTGCCAGCGACGACAGACACCCCACCAGGAGGGTGTGCAACGTCAGCTACCCCTTCTTCCGAGCCAAGGCCAAGGTAGGACATTCCCAACTTCCCACTGTGCTGTCACATGGACCTTCTGCCCCCAGGGTCACATCTGGGCAGCCCTGAGCAGGATTTTGAAGATGAACTTTTGGTTTCTTCCCTTTTGGAGTTTGAAAGGCATCTTAGGGGAGCTGGGATGGTTGGGATCCTACCATGGTGCTCAGGAGAGCCCCAGAATCCAACCCAGCTCCTCCAGGTGACAGAACTTGCCTCAAATCCTTTGGAAAAATTTAATGTTGGCTTCAAACCAAGGATGGGAACTTTCCTGAGCTGATTCCCTGCAGGATGAGGCTCGTTCCCTGCCTGAGAGATTTTCCTTTCCCTGAGGTGCCTGTGGATCCTGCTCAGAGCCAGTCCAAGCCCCCCTGGGTGGTGGCGTCCTCCAAACTTGTGTTCCCAGTATTTGGGATGAGCCCAGATCCAGTTTATCATTTTTATAAGCCATAAACCCTTGGGAAACATCAAATTCAGGGTTCAGTTGGGAAAAAAATAGTGGGGAGATCCACTCAGGATCCACATGGAATCCCACCTGCCACCCATGGGAAAAGGGACCAACAGAGATTTTATCTGGAGATAAAATCTCCCCAGCTCCTGTATCCGTCTGAAACCTTTCCTGGATTATGATGGATGAGCTTCAGGCAGCAGGCTCGGCTTTAAAGCTCCCAAAAATCCCAGTGGGATGCCTGTGGCTGCAGGAGGAGCTGGCTGCCCATGACCTACGGGGTCGGGAATGCGTCCGTGGGCCATCAGGTAGTGCCGCTCCTGCCAAAACAAAGACAGGCTGGAAATGGAATTTTGGCTCCGGAGCCGCGGGAGCTTTAATATTCCAGTCAGCTGTGCCGGCCCAGACGGTTTGAGGTCACTGCAGATGTGACATTTATCACATTTATCCCGTTTTATTGGTGTTGGCTCTCTCCAGCCGCCTCCCCTTCCCGCCGGTCCCGGGCCTCTGGAGGGATCTGCTTCCAAAGGGAGCTGCTCGTTACTCCCATCACAGGGGCTGAGAGAATTCCTGCAATCCTGCTCTGCTCGGTTCTGGTGGGATTGGGAATTGTGTCTCCTGCAGGGTCCTGCACCGGCCCCATTCAGCACTCAGGATTTTATTTTCTGGGATGTTTTTCCCGATGTTTTTCCCGGTGTTTTCCCCTTCTCCGCAGGTCGCTTTCCGCCTGGATTTTGAATTCAGCAAGTCCGTCTTCCTGCAGGGCATGGAGGTCTACATGGTTGCCAGCAGGTCTGGGGATGCTTTCTCCCTCTGGAATCACGGAATCATGGAATTGTTTGGGCTGGGAAAAAAGCCCACCCGGTCCCACCCCTTCCCTGATCCCAGGGTGTCCAATCTTGGACAATTCCAGGGATTCAGGAAGCTTCTCTTGGCACCCCAGGATGCAGCCGGCTTTCCTTGGGATTCCTTCCTCCAGAGGCAGAGGTTTTCCATGGAATAACCCCATGGAGACCCAGTTGCTGTGGGTTACCCTGTGCTCCCAAACCTGGCTATTTTTGTTTATCTGGGAATTTACATCCATGATTTTTCCATGCCTGTGGAAGCTGCTGGGCTCTGCTGGATCTCCAGCCGCTGCTGCTTTCTTATCCACACTCCCACTAACAAATATTTCCCATGAAAAAATATCTCCTAACAATTTTACAAAGCTCTCCTTACTCCCCATTCCTGCACAGGTAAAGATTTCACACAGGGAAATGTGGGAAATCCTGCAAAAAAAGGGAAAATCCTATGAGGAAGGGGGGAAATCCTATCAGGGAGGGTAAAATCCTATGAAGAAAGGGAAAATCCTGCAAAGAAAGGGAAAATCCTACAAAGAAAGGGGAAAATTAAATCAACTTAATACTTATTGAATTATTAATAAATTATTGAAATAATTAACTAAAATACTAATATTACTTAATTTTTTAAAAAAAGTTTCACTAATTATTAGAGCAGAGGAGGATTCCCCTGCACGACTTTAAGCTGCTGGGGGTGACACCTTCCTCCAAATCATTTAAATGATAAAAATCTCAGAATAAAATCCTGCTTTGACCAAAATCAGCATTCCAAAAAAACATTCCCAGGGGGATTTGGCTCCTGCCTGACCCCCTGGCCCTGCTGCTGTTGCAGTGACAGCGAGGAGAAGGAGAGCACCAAGGAGGACAACGTTGCCCACCTCAACTTCCAGCTCAAGTACGAGGCCGACCTGCTCTTCACCAGGTGAGGGGTTTGGGATGGGATTTGGCTCCTGGGAGGTCATGGATTGGGAAAACCCCTTGGGAAAACCAGCTGGGAGCAGCCTTCAAGCCCAGGTTTAATTTGGGAGTTTATTGAAAAAACAGGAGCCGTAAAGTCAGGGAGAGCTTTTTATAAAACTGGCGAGCCATGGGGAGCTGGACTGTGCCGATGTTTAAAGGCATAAATTTTATTGAAGAGGTGTGAGGGTGAGCTTTTATGGGAAAAAAAAAGGGAATTCTTGGAGGTAATAATGGCCATAACAGGTGTTCCCAGTGCCTGGGCCACTGGCCATCCCACAAAACCATCAGAGGGAAGCTCAGCTGTGGGATGAGCGTGGAATCACCGGGAATTCAAGTCTGGGACAGCCAGGGATGAAGGCAGAGATAATTTAGGAAGCTGCTGATGGGAAAATCAGGGATCCCAAAGCACATTCCCTGGCGCTGCTTGCTGGAATTTTTCGGGGATTTTTCAGCCCTTCGGTCATTTTATATTTTTTACTCAGACGCCTCAAATAAAATTCCTTTAATATTTAGGATTTATGGGGAGCGAGGGGATTCTCCAGTTCGGAATGACGAGAAAACCTGGAGGGAAAGAAGAGCACAGAAAATATCAAATTTGGGAATTTCGGAGTGGAAAAGGAGGGAGGGAATTTGAAAGAATGTGGGGATTTGGGGCCATCACAGGTGCTCCCGAATGGGTTCCCACAGGATATTCCTGGCTCTTTTCCCACCTCGCCAGCTGCAAAGCAGGGATTGATTTACCTCCTGTGACATCCAAACCTCAGCCAGGGCCTGGGATGGCTCTGCTTTATTAAAAGGCGAGAAAATCCTGCAAAGAAAGGGAAAATCCTATAAAGAAAGGGAAAATTCTGCAATAAAAGGGAAACCCTGCAAAGAAAAGGGAAAATCCTATAAAGAAAGGGAAGACCCTGCAAAAAAAGGGGAAATCCTGCAAAGAAAAGGGGAATATCCTATACAGAAAAGGGAATATCCTATACAGAAAGGGGAATATCCTATACAGAAAGGGGAAAGTCTTGCAAAGAAAAGGGGAAATCCTATAAAGAAAGGGGAAATTCTACAAACCTCTTTGTCACTTTTTGTCCCACAGGACGTCAAGCCTGGACTATTTTGAGATCAGATCCAACAATTCCCTGGATGCATCCAACCCCATCGGGCCCCCCTTCCACTGCACCTTCACGGTGAGCAGGAACCGGATCCCTGAGTTTTCCTGGGTTTGGGACCTGCCCCGGGAGCAGGGATCCCCATTCCCCGATCCCAACACATCCCTGTGCTCTTCCCTGGCAGCTGCAGAACCTGGGATTCTTCCCGGTGCAAGGGGTGACCCTCAAGATCACCGTGCCCGTGGCCACCCGGGCGGGCAACCGGCTCCTGCTGCCCACGGAATTCCGGGCAGACCAGGTAGGACGGGATTGCGGTTTAGGGTGGGATTCCAGCCCGGTTTAGGGTGGGATTCCAGCATAGTTTAGGATGGAACTCTAGACCATTTTATGATGGGATTCTTGACCATTTTAGGATGGGATTCCAGCCTGGTTTCAGATGGGATTCCAGCCTGGTTAAGATGGGATTCCAGCTTGTTTTAGGATGGGATTCTAGCCCAGTTTATGATGGGATTCTAGGCCATTTTAGGATGTCATTCTGTCCCAGTTTAGGATGGGATTCTGTCCCAATTTAGGATGGGATTCCAGCCCAGTTTAGGGTGGGATTCTGTCCTGGTTTATGATGGGATTCTAGTGTGTTTTAGGATGGGATTCCAGCCCCGTTTAGGATGGGATTCTAGCCCATTTTCAGATGGCATTCTGTCCCAGTTTATGATGAGATTCAGGCCTGGTTTAGGATGGAATTCCAGCCCAGTTTAGGATGGAATTCAAGCCAAATTTATGATGGGATTCTGTCCCAGTTTAGGGTGGGATTCAAGCCCAGTTTAGGATGGGATCCCAGCCTGGTTTAGGATACGATTCTGTCCAAGTTTTGGATGGGATTCCAGCCTGGTTTAGGATGGGATTCTGTCCCAATTTAAGATAGGATTCTAGGGCAGTTTATGATGAGATTCCAGCCCAGTTTAGGACGGGATCCCAGCCCTCCAGCCACATTCCACAGCGAGCCAAACTCAATCCCAGCTCCAGCACATCCTGGGGCGTGCTGGGGATCCCTGATTCGGGATGGGGGCACAGAGAAGCCACTGCCACGATCCCGTGTCCATGCTGTAATTCCATCGGCTTCTCCCGCAGGAAAACACGACCTGCAGCATCTGGGGGAACACCACTGACTACCGGAGAACCCCGGCAGAGGAGGACCTGTCCCGCACCCCACACCTGGTACTGGCCTGCACAGGGCCAATCCTGGCTCCAGGATATCCCAAAACAGGGAAAAACCTGGGATAGGGATGGCCCATGGACATAAGAGGGGCACACCGGAACTTTTAGGAGATTTTTAAGCCCTTTGGTCAGTTTATTTTTATTTTTCCTCTCAGCCACTGCAACTTAAGCCCCGTTAATACTCAGGGTTTATGGGAAGTGAGAGAATTCTCCAGCTCACAAAGATCAGGATAATTTTTTTCCAAGAGAAAACTTGGAGGGAAAGAACAGCACAAAATCCAGCAAAATTGGGAAGTTTGGGGTGAAAAAGGGGGAGAAAAGTTAAAGAAGGGGGGCATTTAGCCACAGAGGAGGACGGACACGTGGGATCCTCCCTCCCTCAGTGGGATTCAGCCACAGGGATGAATCCCAGCGGGATTTTCCCTCCTTCTTCAGCTGTGATCCCACATTTCCCTTTGCAGAACCACAGTAACTCCGACGTGGTTTCCATCGACTGCGAGGTGAAATTGGCTCCCAACGAGGAGCTGAACCTGCATCTGCGTGGGAATCTGTGGATGAAGTCTCTGAAAGCAGTGAGTGCTCACCAGAAATTGTGGATTTCAGGGAGAAATCCCCAAAGGAACCCTTGCACCCCAAAAACGTGGGATTTTTCCCTTCCCCAGGAAACCCAAGAATGTATGGGGTGATTTTTGTTCCCAAAGCCGCTTATCCTGTTGGATTGTGCATCCATAGTGCCGCATTTTGGATTATTTAATTCCATAATGTATTAATTAATGCAAATTTAAGTAATCTAAAACCTCTTTTTTTGCTGTTGTTCTGCCCCACTCCCTGCCTGCCCTGCATCCTCCTCTCCCATGGATGCAAAGAGAATCCCTATGGATACAAAGTCAAAGGGATGGGACGGATCCCATTGGGAATGGGGACTCCTTTTCCACATGGGATGCTCATCCCAGCTCATGGGGATGGGATGGATCCCGTTGGGAATGGGGACTCCTTTTCCACATGGGATGCTCATCCCAGCTCATGGGGATGGGATGGATCCCGTTGGGAATGGGGGCTCCTTTTCCACGTGGGATGCTCATCCCAGCCCTCTCCGTGCAGCTGAAGTTCAAGGCACTGAAGATCACCACGATCGCCGCGCTCCAGCGGCGCTTCCGGAGCCCCTTCGTTTTCCGGGAGGAGGATCCCAGCCGCCAGGTCAGCCCTGGGATTGGGGGCACCCAGAATTTCGGGATGCTGCCACACCCTGCCCTGATCCCACTGGGAGAATCCCTGTGGATGGAGGGACCCAGAATTTCAGGATGCTGCCACACCCTGCCCTGATCCCACTGGGAGAATCCCTGTGGATGGAGGGACCCAGTTCTGGAAAAACTCGGTGCAGTTGAGGCCAAGCTCTGATCCTGGAATCTCCAAATTCCACAAAGAAAACTGAGCCAAACCCTTGGTGCAGCATTCCCAAAGCAGCTGCTCATCATTCCCACTATCCCCTTTTCCCCGCCATTCCTGCCTGGAATCCGCGGTGTTTTCTCTCCTCCAGATCACGTTTGAGATCTCCAAGCCCGAGGAATCGCAGATTCCCATCTGGATCATCCTTGGGAGCACCTTTGGAGGTCTCCTGCTCCTGGCCCTGCTGGTCCTGGCGCTCTGGAAGGTGAGCAGCCCCATTTTGGGGGATTTTTGGAGATTCCTACACATGGAGAAACCCTCTGGATCCATGTCCAGCACCCCAACAACCCCTAAACACCACCAAGAATCCTCAAAACCTCCTCCAAAAAACCCCTTTCCCATATATAAATGACATCCAGGACCAACTTCCAGCTGCCGTCCCATTGAAATCTCCTGGGATAACAGCGGGGTTTTGTTTCTCTTCCCTCCCCACAGCTCGGGTTCTTCAAGAGCGGGAGCCGCCGGCGCGCGGCCGAGCGGGAGCAGAATTCCCACGGGATGGAGTGACTCTGCCGGGGCCAGGAGCCCCCTCCCAGCTCCGGAGACTCCCGGGACCCCGAGGGATTTGGGGGCTGAGCTTGGCTTTGCAGCAGGATGAGAGAACAGCACTTAAAAGCCATAAAAAAACCCCTCGAACCAACCGAAAATTCCCCAGAAAACTCGTCGGAGGTGATTTCGACTGGGATTCCATTAAAAAAAAACCCCTCAAACCAATGGAAAACTCCCCAAAAATCACCTCAGAGGTGCTTCTAACTGGGGTTCCATTAAAAACACCACAAACCAACCAAAAAGTCCCAAAAAACATCCTCAGAGGTGCTTTCAACTGGGATTCCATTTAAAAAAGACCTCAAATCAACCAAATGTTCCCCAAAAATCTCCTCAGAAGTGCTTCCAACTGGGATTTCGCCAAGGTGGCAGCAGTGGGGACGAGGGGACACCGACGTGAGGGGTCCCTGATGTGGAGCTGGAAAACTCCTTAAAATAAAAATATTATCCCAAAAATCCCCCATGGATTGCTCCTTCCCGTGGTGGAGCTGTTGCAGATCCCGGGCTCTGCTGGCCACAGCTCTCAAACTGCCTTCGTTAACAGGAGTAATTAAGTGGAGGCGTTAATTAGTCTGAATGCACTGAATGAAATTCTTGTGATTTCAAGCACCTTAAATGCCAAATCTCCCGTGTCCAGCTGTACATAATTCTTCTAAAAACAGGAAGGAAAGGAGGGGGAAAAAATTAAAAATCCCATCCAAAAAAAACCCAAAAAAACAAACCACAAACTTAGAAATAATTTTGAAATAATTTAAAATCGTTAAGAATTAATTAAAAAGCAGTTTGATGAGTTTTGTCCCAGCAGAGCAGTTTGGGGAGCCCACGTGTATCATACCTGTACATAGCTGGTGCCATGGAAATCATGGAATTTTAAGGGCAGGAATGCCCTTGGCATAGCAGAATTATTTATGCTAATATTAATTTTATGGAGAAGAGGGAAGAGGATTTTTCTGGATGTAGGGTGAGGTTCGGGACATAGTGTTCCTGGTATTTTTTAATGATTAAAAATATGGTATTTTAAAAATTCCTGGTGTCTGTTCCATTTGTTCTGTGGATATGAGGGGGGCTACTCAGGGATCAGGGGGGAGGATGGATCCTGGAATTTTTCCATCATTTATTTCTAAGGGGTGTGAAAAGGATGAGCAGTCAAGTGAAGCCTTTGGAAGACCCAAACATGGGAAAAAAATGGGATAAAAAACTTCCCAAATCAGAAATTAAACCCTCAGCTGGAGTGGGAATTGTGGATTCCCCAGTTTTTGATGGACTGGGAGCTCAGGGGTGCAGCTGGGGTGCGGGGAAACGCCGGAGAGCCCAACAAGACCCTCCCCACCACATTCCCAGGATCTGGATCCCGGCACACAGAGGGAAAGAGATGGAGAGCGGGAAGGAAGGGGCAGGGTCCTTCAGGATTTTTATATATATATATATAAAAGATAATTATTTTAATATATATTTTATACATCTATGTTTTAATATATGTATACACATATATATACGTATATATATATATATATACACATACACATACATACATATATATACACACATACATATACATATATATGTATATATGTATATATCTATATATCTATATATCTATATATATACAAAAAATGCATATATATGCATATATATGTATGTGTATGTAAGTATAAAATATATATCTGATTATGTATATAATTAGATATATTTATACATATAAATATGCAATATATATCAATATATTTACATTTTATATACACACTTGTATAATTAATTTATATTTATATTATTTTTGTTATTTATGTATAAGTATATATGTTGTGTGTATATATAAATATATATAGCTATATCTATTAAATCTAATATCTATATTATGTGTATTAAATCGTACATATAATATATATGTGTAATATAGATAATATATATAATATACTATATATACTATATATAAAATAATCATATATATTATATATATACATATGACACCTATAATATATACTATATTTTCATAAATATGTTCATAATATATATATATGCATATATACAGTGTATATTATACATTATGTATAAGTATACATATAATTTATGTATGTGTATATAATATATATCTGTAAAATATATATGTGTTCATATATACATAAATATATAAATATGTACCATTTCTATATTTTACTTATAGCTAAATATATTATATATATTTAAATATATTTACTTATATATAAAATATATGCACACATATGTAATTTATATATCTATTTGTGGGTTTATATCTATGGATATATATCTACACGCACACTGTATGTGCATATACATTTATAAATAATTTTTAGAAAATGTGTATACATGTGCATATGTCTACAAATATAACTTAGATGTATATATGCATATATATACACACACACACATATAAAATGTATGTGTGTATGTACTTCTATATACGTGTATATATATATATATAAAAATACATAAAATATATAAAATATATGTGTGTGTATATACATAAAAATATAAAGCATAAATAGATTTTATTTCTATATCTAGATATAATTTAAATAAATATATTTTAATAAGTTTTCTATAAATATACAATATTTATTATATATAGACATTGATATGTTTCTATACATACATCTATATATTTATATATACACACACATTGATATATTTGTATAAGTATCTGGATATATTTTATATATACAAATACACTGATATATTTATATATATAAATACATTTATATATTTTATATATATAAATCCATTAATATCTATGAATTTCCACCCTCCTTGCCCACCTCCAGCACCTCCCAGTGCTTGGTGCCCGTCCCCTGGCACAGACACCTGGGCACACCCCAAGGCACAATGCCCACATTTCTGTGGAGCTCAGGCTGCAGCTGCCCCATTCCTGCTCCCCTCCCCAGCCATTCCCAAGGAATATTTGGGAATCCTGGATTTCCAGGACCCTTGACCCCGCTGGCAGCAGCGAGGGCTGGGTTGGAGGTTGTCCCCAATCCCTGGGTGGCTCTGTCCCTCTGGATCCCTCGGGACAGCAGGATCAGCATTCCAAGGCCTGGCTCAGCTCCGGGTTTATTTCCAGGCCAGGTTTATTTCTACCTCTCCCAGTGCTGATCCCTCTCCATCAACATCCCAACCTCCAGCAGCACCCAGCTCTTCCCAGGACCTCACTCTGTGCTCTTCCAGGGAAAACAGCACCTGGAGGCTCCAAGGAATTTTATCAGGGGCTTTAAATAACAGGGAGAGCAAGGGCAACCTCACAGCGTTTAATGCTTGAGAGGAAAATTCCAGATCCTGGAGAAGATCCCAGGATTGCCAAGGCTGCACCCACAGGTATTCCCTCCCCTTTGCCAAGAGCTCTTGGTGACACGAGGAATGTGGCAGGACAGCATTCCATGACAGCAGGCAGCAGGAATTCACTGGGAAGCAGGATAACAACCAGGAATAGGCTGGAGGCAGGAGCAGCTTTTCCACAGCAAAGACCTTCTCCCGCTTGGAAGTATTTTGGAATCAACAGCCAGGAATTTTTATTGTTACTTTGGAGTTCTCCTCAGGAAAATGACACCTTCCACTAGCCCAGACTTACCTTAGGACAATTCCAGAGATGTGGAAGTCACAGCTCCTTCAGAGAACCTGATCCTAAACCCAACCCTAAAGCTTTTCCCTCAAAGGACACAAACCCCAGAGAAAAAAAACCAGCAATTCCAAGGTAATTCCACATTCAATGTTTATTTCTTTGTCATACAAATAGAAACGTGTGCCCCAAATCTCGCCCGAAAGTTCTACCTGGATTGTTTTTAAAAAAACCCCACAGAACATTCGTTCATCCTGACAGTTAAAAAGCTGCATGGGAAAGGAACAGAGGGTTCAGGAGCCTTGTCCCAACAAGTGACATTTTCCTGCTGGAGCATCTGCCACTTCTCCCAAAGTTCTCAAGCGACAACGTCCCCGTACAATCACTCGCTCATCAGCAAAGTGGCTGATGAGAGGAGAATTTTAATTTTTTTTTGTAAAAATCAGTTTTTAAGAAGAGATTTTCCTACTGGAAGGAGTAAAAACCATGAAAAATCCTCGAGTCCAATTCAGGGAGGCACAGACTCCAACGCTTCTTGGAAAAGCCAGGTTCAAGGAAGACTCTCTTTGGCGGCAGACGGCTCCGTTAGGAAGATACAGCATCTGGAATCCAAGAGTGCAGCTGGACAGACTTTGAGTCAAAAAAAAGGTGCGTGTTGAGCGTCGAAACAACAGAAAAAACCCAAGTCCAAAGCAGTCTGAAATGTTGGGACACACACAAACACAAATTCCCTACCCAGTTTCTAGGGATCCATGCATGATGTTTGGATAGGAGCGACGGAGCTACGGAAAAAGAAACGATGATTCCGGTTATTTTCGGTCGGCGTGGAAGTGGTTTTTGTCCATAGGTTACTCAATACTTACTGGAGCAGTGTCAGTGAAGAGCTTGATAATGGAATTCAGCCCCTCAGAGCTGAATTTCCACCTGCATTTCCTAACAGAGCATCCCTCACGTCTGTAGCTGTAAATTTTGATTTAAAACACAACTTTTAAAACGTTACCAACATCTTCAGCACGAGCTGAAAGGCATAAAAGCCTGGTGAGGTACGAGAGCAATGCACTGCCCTGGGGGTGGACACTCCACTTTTAACCCAACTACCACAGAATTCCCAATTTTTCTTTTCCTACCTCACTGTGAGGAGTTTGAAATCCAATTGTAAGAACCGTGTCGGACACGACAGGAGTTACCTGGGGGATTCTTCTCATCTCATTTAGAAAACCAAGATCTAATGAAGGGATTCATTTAATCAAAAAAAGAAAAGGACCAAAATCTCAAACATCAGATTCAACTACAGGACAACGATGTGGCTTTTCCTGCCCCCCCGCCCTCCACCATCTCCACCCGAGAACTGAGGCCGCAGACGGAATCCAGGGGAACCCAAAACCAAAGGAATGGAGAAAAACAACTTCATGGACACGGGTGTATTCTGCTGTCTGGTGTTGTCCCGGGATAGCACCACCACAAAAGGTTGGACACGGCCTAGTGGAACTGGACAAACTCTTCCAGAGTTCTGGGGATCTGGTTTTGGTAGCTGATGTTGTAGATCCGCACGGCGCGGGCAGCCAGGCACTTGAGACTCAGCTTCATTTGAGTTTTAAGGAGGATTTCGGACACCCCGGTGGTACTTTTATCCAGAGGGGTTTTCTTCTGCTTGTTGGTCATGTCCGTGTGGGCGCCGGCCTCCACCAGGCTGATGATGATGGAGTGCAACGTCAAGAAGTCGCTGATGGGCCGGTGGTACTGCACGATGATGTGCAGGGGGCTGTTCCCCTCGTTGTCCACGGCGTTGACGTCGGCGCCGCAGTCCAGCAGGAGCTTGGTGACCAGGGCGTTGGGGAAGCTGCACACGTCGTTGGTGTGGAAGTCGTCCACAGGCGTGCCCGAGTTGACGGCGTGGTGCAGCAAGCTGGAGCCGTCGCGCGTGCGCGGGTCCAGGTGGATCAGGTTGTAGATCTGCTTGTTGATGCGGGACTGGTCGTCCTCGCTGCACTGCGTCTTGGTGGAGATGCACACCAGGTAGAGGAAGGTGAAGATGTTACACTCGTAGTTGTCCATGGCCGTGTGGATGTCGGCGTCCGGCGTGGTTTTGATGCGCGCCATGCCCTGCTCGATCTCCAGCACGCTGCAGCGCAGGACGCTCTCGATGTCCTTAGCTTTCACGGGCTCGTTCAGGTGGATCATCTGGGAGAAGACCTGAGCGAACCTCAGCAGGTCCTTGTGGGTGTTCCTGTTGCCCTTCTGCCGCAGGTGCAGGGCGTGGAGCCAGAGCTTGATGCACTGCTCGAACTCCATGTTGTCCGCGTAGACCGCGCCCCGGTAAATGATGGGGTGGGAGACGTCGATATTGTCCGAGCCCAGGATTCTCTCCCGCACTATGAGGCCTTCCATGTGAAGGGCATCTCTGTCCTGCCTGATGGACTCTAATTCCTGAGGGGTCCTGCATTCCGACCTGTTTC